TGTAGATGTGAGGGGACTCCCGAGTGGCACAGAGGTCTAAGACACTGCAGTGCTTGAGGTGTCACTACAGATCCGGGTTCGATCCCGGGCTGCGTCGCAGCTGACCACGACCGGGAAACCCATGAGGCGATGCACAATTGGCCCAGCGTCGTCCGGGTTAGGGGAGGGTTTGGCCAGCCGGGATGTCCTTGTCCCATCGCACTCTAGCGACTCCTGTGGCGGTCCGGGCGCATACATGCTGAAACGGTCGCCAGTTGTACAGTGTTTACTCCGACACATTGGTGCGGCTAGCTTCCGGGTTAAGCGAGATGTGTTATTTCATAGTTTTGATGTCTTCACTATTATTCTACAATGTAGAAAATAGTAAAAATAGTTTTAAAAAACCTTGAATGAATAGGTGTGTCCAAACCTTTGACTGGTACTGTATGTTTTAATCTTTTCTACATCCCTGAAACATGGAACTTGTTTTCTACATCCTTGAAATACCATATAGACTACAAGGAGCCCTGGACCCTTGTGCCTCTGAGCCGCCTTCCTCAGCCTATAGCCCCTCCCTCAGCTTATAGCCCCTCCCTCAGTTTATAGCCCCTCCCTCAGCCTATAGCCCCTCCCTCAGCATGTAGCCCCTCCCTCAGCTTATAGCCCCTCCCTCAGCATATAGCCCCTCCCTCAGCCTATAGCCCCTCCCTCAGCCTATAGCCCCTCCCTCAGCCTATAGCCTCTACCTCAGCCTATAGCTCCTCCCTCAGCCTGTAACCCCTCCATCAGCCTGTAGCCCCTGTGAAAGCCACCTGTCGTGGCCCATACATCAGTTTGGATCATGCCCTGACACAACCACAGATTAACAGGGAAATATTTGTGTTGGGTATTTAACTGGGGATCAGGGAGGGGCGAATTATGAGTCAACAGATGAGAATACCCCTGACAGACACAGAGAGACAGAGCAATTCCGTTGATATGTGTACCTACAACCACTTCAAAAGGTGGCTCCTGTAAAAATAAGACGAAATAGACACACTTGGTCACAGAATCAGAGCCTGGCTTCAATGTGATGTTACCCATGCTTGACGTTCTCAACTTGTTTCTGCCTGCAGGCTTGTGTGTGTGTGTGTGTGTGTGTGTTTGTGTGTGTGTGTGTGTGTGTGTGTGTGTGTGAGTGTGTGTGTGTGTGTGTGTGTGTGTGTGTGTGTGTGTGTGTGTGTGTGTGTGTGTGTGTGAGTGTGTGTGTGTGTGTGTGTGTGTGTGTGTGTGTGTGTGTGTGTGTGTGTGTGTGTGTGTGTGTGTGTGTGTGTGTGTGTGTGTGTGTGTGTGTGTGTGTGTGTGTGTGTGTGTGTGTGTGTGTGTGTGTTTGTGTGTGTGTGTGTGACTGCTGTGAGGTGATAGGATTACTGTTAGATCGTCTGATCAGTGGAACAGCAACTAGCCATCAACACCTCCAGGACACCACAGTTAATCAGACTGTCTCTCTCTCTCTCTCTGCTCTCAGTCCTGAATCCCTATCTATCAGCTCTTTCCCAGACCCACTACTGAGGCATAGCTTGCAGGAAGAAAAATGAAGACAGTCAGACTATACTACTCAGAGATTTCTATTCACGCTGTAATGAAGAAATGTTTGGGCACTCAGTTTCTCCACAGGGAAGTAGTTCTGGGCCAGCATGTTGGGTAACGTGGTGTAAGACTTCAACAGTCATGTTAGTTCAAGGTTGGCTTTAGCTTGGCAGGTTTACAATTGGTGAGTCATGGAGAGTAGAGGAAAGGTTCTGCCCTTCAGAGGAGGTGTGAGCACTTGAGCAGAGACAGAGGGGCCAACCATAAATAATCCCTGGAATTGATAGAGGGGTAGAGGGGTGAAGGGGTAGAGGGGGGTGGGGTAGAGGGGTGGTGGGTAGATGGGTGAAGGGGTAGAGGGGTAGACGGGTAGAGGGGGGGTGGGATGGAGGGGTGGAGGGGGGGAGGGGTGGAGGGGTGGATGAAACAGGAGAAGACAGACACACCAGGCCCAACCAGTGAATACTTCCACGCTAGAGAGTGAGGAGGAGGTAGAGAGTGGAGGAACAATAATTTAGAAACATGAAGAGTGGGAATGAGAGAGAAGGAGAAGTTTATACATATCTGATAAGTTAACTTAGTTACAAGTTTTGGAAATGTGAAGTCCCACTGGGCATCATATCACTTCCACATCATATGAAGAAAAAAAAACTCAATGTGATGATGTTGAAGGAATGTGGAAAACTGATTGGATTTGCAAAAAAGTAATTTTCGGTAATTTGTGTAATCCACATTTGACCCTAAATCCAATGAGATGGTTACATTTCTTCTTGATTTCATTTTGAATTCACGTTAGTTGACAACTCAATCAAATGTAAATCAAAACGTTGAATTCAGCAGAAATCAGAAGGCCTGTGTCTGCTGTACAGTTTAAGTAAATGCTACAGGTGAACTGTCTGCATAGCTGTGCATCTGGACACCATGATACATACAGGCACTGAGATGCCAAGTCTATTCTGTCTGTCTGCTGGACATGGTCCAGTTCTGCTAGTCTGGTACCTGCTGTTACACTGTCTGGCATCTTCAACAGAACAGGTTGAATAAACAAGTCCTCACTCCACCCTCTGTGCTCTATAACGGACTTGTTTAGTGGGTGAAAACACATATACGGCTTGTGCAAATTGGATTAGTACGGGGGAGGTTTTGGATTGCCGTTTTGGGTGCCTCCATCCACCTGTTAAAACATCAACTCACCGGGTGTCTCTTTTCGACAAAACATTTGGTTTAAATGAGTTTGGAGTGCCTGCTGCTGTTGAAATCTCATTCAGGAAATATATTATTATAAACACGCCCCAGCCCGTTGTTGTTCAGTACAGTAGTTAGCCTAGCTTAGCGCTCCGGGGCAATCTCACACACAGCAGGAGATCATCCATCTCTATCTCTATCACTCTCTCCCCCTCCCTTGCCCCTCTTTTCTTTATCACGCTGTTTGAGGAAGTGATTATAGCTATGAATATGATTATTACTGTTGCGGCAGCTATTCCATCACACATTTGGGTGGCAACGGCAAGCTTGCTTGTTGAGTTACGCTGTTAGGCTGTGTGGACTTCCAGACTAAACTCTTAGAAAAAAAGTACAATCTAGAACCTAAAAGGGTTCTTTGGCTATCCCCATAGGAGAACACTTTTTGGTTCCAGGTAGAACCCTACTAGGTTCCATGTAGAACCCTTTCTACATGGAACCCAAAAGAGTTCTACCTAGAAACAAAAAGGGTTCTACCTGGAACCAAAAAGAGTTCTGCCCTCAATGGGGATCTAGTCCTGGTAGCATGGCTTTAGGTTAGGTCCTTGGAGGTCAAGGGGTTAAGGCTATTATAAGATTAGAGCAAGATGGAGCCAAAGGGGTGGTCTTATTGTAGACCCACCCAGGCAAGCCCATAGAAAATGGAATTCCATAGATATAATCAAAACCAATATGGATTCATAAATCGAAATGGATTGAGGTGAATTGTTCTGCTCATAATGGTAAGACAATGGTAGGCTAATTTATACAGTAATATGCCAACCACATGAAGTATTAATACGCCAGCCACACTTAATCCATGTATAACAGCCCTGAGGTTTAATTTAGGTATGGCTGGTCTCGTCTCAACAATCCCAGCTCAGAGCTGGTGTATAGCTCAGTGTATAGGGAGAATATAACCAAATTAAAGTGGGAGGATTACGCTAGTCCTTTTAATAAAGGCCATAATCTGACTGGGATTAAGCTCGGTTTTAAAGGAAAAGTGACAGAGGGAGAGCGGGAGAGAGGGAACGGGAGAAGGGGATAGAGGGAGGGAGAGAGGAAAGGAAAGAGGGAGTCAGTCTGTATGGCAGGGACAGGGGGAAGGAGAGAGGGAGGGAGGGAATCTGTAAGGAGGGAGAAGGGGGATAATGGAGGGTCTGTAGGAGTGGTGGATGGGAGGGGATTTCTCTGCAGAGGGGATTTAAAGGTAAAAACATACTGTACTCTCACTAAGTAACATCTGGGCCACATTTACTATGTAGCTGTGTGTATGGGGGCGGGGGGATTCTTCAAAGGACTAAAAGGATTCTTCAGAATGTGTTTAGTGTAAAGTGGAGATGGGAGAGCGAGATTGGGGGGATTACAGCCTATGTTTCTCAACAACATCATAACAATGTGATAATTTCATTGTTGAGCAGTTTTTTCATGGCAGTAACATGGCATTCTATCCATCTAGACCTACAATAAAGCTGCTCTGAGAACAGTGTTTGTTCTGGCTTTTAATAAAACTCTGTTGTTCCTTATGAAGCAGTCACTGGTCCTAGTCATGTTTTCACATGTGCTTCTCATTTAGGTTCCCCTAAAATAACAAAATAAGGGAACCCCCCTTTTGTGCCCCAAATGCTACACTGCTGTGTTCTGTTCCACTAGCTTGCCATGCAATGAATACGAGACACAATCGTAACAAAAATGACTGAGAGGCGATTGATACTGATTCTAAAGAGTTTAGCTTGACTGGTGCTTCCTGAGTAAAGAAGTGGACTTCTACAGCATCATTGCTGTGGATAGCTGTATCCCCCCCCCCCCCCCCCTCTCTCTCTCTCTCTCTAAAAGTGAATATTGGAAGAGGGAGAGAAAAAAACCTCCTTTAGACAGAGGGGGATCAAAACAAGCTGCCATAACAACGACTGAATCCAGAAGTACTCCTGTTGATGAGGACATAAATTCTAAAAGCCTCTACAGCACAAAAAGTACTTTACCACATAAAAAGCTTTTTCCCCTTCTTAAAAAGAACACACGTTTCCATTACAGCTTTTACACAGAGCTCTTTGATCTCTTGTGTATGTATCATCTTATCATGGTTGGTTGTGTTATCACCTTACTGTAACAAGATTTTCTTTGCTCATGCCTTTTACAGTAGTTTGTTTTTAGCTCCAGCATATGCTGATATGTAGGCCTACATTACATGGGCTGTTATTTATCGATTAATGTGTTATCTGTAAGATGTAATGAGGGGGTTGACCGCTCCAGAATCCCCTGCCTACCTTCGTAACACACACCCAGAGACCTACACCCCTCAGCCCGCCTTTGAAAGACTGGTGTGTGTGAATCTCTCTCTCTCTCTCTCTCTCTCTCTCTCTCTCTCTCTCTCTCTCTCTCTCTCTCTCTCTCTCTCTCTCTCTCTCTCTCTCTCTCTCTCTCTCTCCGTCTCTCTCTTTCTCCCTATAAGAGGTAAAGATCATTCATTGGCTACAAGGTGACCATGACACACACACACACGCACACACACACACACACACACACACACACACACACACACACACACACACACACACACACACACACACACACACACACACACACACACACACACACACACACACACACACACACACACACACCCTTTAGTGAGTATGTGTTGTGCTCTCCTGTCACAGGAGGGGAGAGAGTGGTTATGGTGCATATCATTATCAAATCTCTCCTAAATGTGGCAGCTGTTGCCTCGGAACTTCAGAATTCCCTTTCCAGAGTCAAATGATTATTTCTTCCCCTTTTGCTTGTCAATAGACAGCAGGCCTCGTTTCACCTAGGGTGACAGTGTTTCCTTGTTTGAGTGTGTGAGAGAGACTCGGAGAGTTTAGAGTGTGTATTTTAGTGTGTTATGTGCATGCGTTATGTACCAGCAAATCTATGTCATTAGTCAATAAGAGCCGTTGAAGTGTTCTGGGACTGAATTGATGCCATATTCCGTTCAGTGGCTTTCGAAAGTATTCACCTCCCTTGGCATTTTTCCTATTTTGTTGCCTTACAACCTGGAATTATTATTTGATTTACACAACATGCCTACCACTTTGAAGATGTAAAATATTTTTTATTGTGAAACAAACAAGAAATAAGACAAAAAAACAGAAAAGTTGAGCGTGCATAACTATTCACCCCCCCAAAGTCAATGCTTTGTAGAGCCACCTTTTGCAGCAATTACAGCTGCAAGTCTCTTGGGGTATGTCTCTATAAGCTTGGCACATCTAGCCACTGGGATTTTTGCCCATTCTTCAAGGCAAAACTGATCCAGCTCCTTCAAGTTGGATGGGTTCCGCTTGTGTACAGCAATCTTTAGGTCATACCACAGATTCTCAATTGGATTGAGGTCTGGGCTTTGACTAGGCCATTCCAAGACATTTAAATGTTTCCCCTTAAACCACTCGAGTGTTGCTTTAGCAGTATGCTTAGGGTCATTGTTCTGCTGGAAGGTGAACCTCTGTCCCAGTCTCAAATCTCTGGAAGACTGAAACAGTTTTTCCTCAAGAATTTCTCTGTATTTAGCGCCATCCATCATTCCTTCAATTCTTACCAGTTTCCCAGTCCCTGCCGATGAGAAGTGTTGGGTTTGCGCCAGACATAGCATTTTCCTTGATGGCCAAAAAGCTCAATTTTTGTCTCATCTAACCAGAGTACCTTCTTCCATATGTTTGGGGAGTCTCCCACATGCCTTTTGGCGAACACCAAACGTGTTTGCTTATTTTTTTCTTCAAGCAATGGCTTTTTTCTGGCCACTCTCCCATAAAGCCCAGCTCTGTGGAGTGTACGACTTAAAGTGGTCCTATGGACAAATACTCCAATCTTCGCTGTGGAGTTTTGCAGCTCCTTCGGGGTTATCTTTGGTATCTTTGTTGCCTCTCTGATTAATGCCCGCCTTGCCTGGTCCATGAGTTTTGGTGGGCGGCCCTCTCTTGGCAGGTTTGTTGTGGTGCCTTATTCTTTCAATTTTTTAATAATGGATTTAATGGTGCTCCGAACCCAACCCTTATCTGTACTTCTCCACAACTTTGTCCCTGACCTGTTTGGAGAGCTCCTTGGTCTTCATGGTGCCACTTGCTTGGTGGTGCCCATTGCTTAGTGGTGTTGCAGACTATAGGGCCTTTCAGAACAGGTGTATATATACTGAGATCATGTGACACTTAGATTGCACACAGGTGGACTTTATTTAACTAATTATGTGACTTCTGAAGGTAATTGGTTGCACCAGATCTTATTTAGGGGCTTCATAGCAAAGGGGGTGAATACATATGCACGCACCACTTTTTCGTTATTTATTTTTTAGAATTGTTTAAAACAAGTCATTATTTTCCTTTCACTTCACCAATTTGGACTATTTTGTGTATGTCCATTACATGAAATCCAAATAAAAATCAATTCAAATTACAGGTTGTAATGCAACAAAATAGGAAAAACGCGAAGGGGGATGAATACTTTTGCAAGGCACTGTATGTGCTCCCTCCCTGCCTGCCTCCCTGCCTCCCTGCCTCCCTCCCTGCCTGCCTCCCTCCCTCCCTGCCTGCCTGCCTCCCTCCCTGCCTCCATCCCTCCCTGCCTGCCACCCTCCCTGCCTCCCTGCTTCCCTCTCTCCCTGCCTGCCTCCCTACCTCCCTGCCTGCCTGCCGCCCTCCCTGCCTCCCTGGCTTCCTGCCTGCCTGCCTCCCTCCCTGCCTCCCTGCTTCCCTCTCTCCCTGCCTCCCTGCCTCCCTGGCTTCCTGCCTGCCTGCCTCCCTCCCTGCCTACCTCCCTGACTGCCTGCCTGGACCAAAGCCCAGATATGACATCTGTGTTGGATTTGTTATGGAGAGTACTGCTGAGAGCCATATGACACAGACAGAGATGGAGAGAGAGGGATAGATGGGTTTGTAGAGCGAGAGAGAGAGAGAGAGAGAGAGAGAGAGAGATGGGTTTGGGGGAGAGAGCGAGAGAGGGGTAGATGGGTTTGGGGGGAGAGAGCGAGAGAGGGGTAGATGGGTTTGGGGGAGAGAGCGAGCGAGAAAGGGGTAGATGGGTTTGGGGGAGAGAGCGAGAGAGGCGGGGGGGGGGGGGGGTAAGGAGAGAAGAAGACAGAAAGAGATAGGAAGGAGCAAGAGTGAGAAAGAGAGAAAGAGACTACTTAAAACTAGATGTGAGATGTATTGGACATCTTGTTCAATTTCTTCAAACGTATTCTACTACTCTACTATGCACTTTGACATTTAAAATTCTCTTCATCGCACCTCTACTCCACACTACAAGACAAGACAAGTGCCCTTTCAGATTCTCTGGGCATGACGCCTCTGCTCTCTCTCCCTCTCATCTTCTCTCTATCCCTTTATTTTCTCTACCAGCCAAGCGCTTGCCTCTTCAAAGCCTCAAGCAGACAAACCACACAGAAGGCCAGAGAGAGTAAAGAAAGCCTTCCTAACAAAATAAAAATGACATTGACTGTTTCAACACAGCGAACCATTTTAGACTCTAGATAGCGCCTTTCTTTCTAAGAGTGTAGAGTGATGTTTTAGCTGTAAAAGATTACCTTTGGTGACCTGGTGTGCCTGCCTGTGTCTGTCGCAGACTTAAAGCCCATAGTCCACTGTGGAGGAGGTGGCTGGGGGTTGGGGTTGTAGGATGGGGTGTGTGTGTGGGGGGGGTAGTGGTAAGGGTTGAGGGGGCGGCTAGCCTTTTCGTAGGTCAATGGCGCCCATTCACCTCAGCTTTCTCCGTAGGAGGTTGAGAACTAATGGAATGTCCCAAACAAGATGAGCATGTCTGAGAGGGACCATTGTGAGAGCTGCCCTCAACCTTAACCCTAACCCTCAGGACGTGGCAGTTTGACACATGACTTTTAGACGTTTAGTGGGAGCCTTTGTCTGATAAGAGTCACTGTACAACAGACACACTGTATGTTCGACTCAAAGTGAATTTGGTTCAATAATCAATCTCTTCATAGTCTATTACATGGGTTGGACCAACATACTTTGGAGATAACAACGTTAATAGAATAGCCCTCTATGTAAAAGTCCATCTGGAATCCATGTGCTCTCATGCTGTTATGTTATGGAAATTCTTAACTAGCTTTTGCATTATAGCAATCCATGTGCTACCAATACAACTTCCAACCTATAATGTATTTTATTATCTATCTATACTGAACAAAAATATAAACGCAACATGCAACAATTTAAAAGATTTTACTGAGTTACAGTTCATATAAGGAAATCAGTCAATTGAGAATAAATTCATTAGGCCCTAATCTATGGAGTTAACATGACTGGGCAGGGGTGCAGCCATGGGCCTTGGAGGGCATAGGCCCACCCACTGGGGAGCTAGGCCCACTCACTGGGGAGCCAGGCCCACCCACTGGGGAGCCAGGCCCACCCACTGGGGAGCCAGGCCCAGCCAATCAGAATTAGTTTTTCCCCACAAAAAGGCTTTATTACAGCACCAGCACCCCCACCCCCCCCTCAGACGACCCCACAGGTGAAGAAGCCGGATGTGGAGGTTCTGGGTTGGCGTGGTTACACATGGTCTGTGGTTGTGAGGCTGGTCGGACGTACTGCCAACCCAGAGGCAGCTTATGGTAGAGAAATTAACATTCAACAGCTCTGGTGGACATTCCTGCAGTCAGCATGCCAATTGCACACTCCCTCAAAACTTGAGACATCTGTGGCATTGTGTTATGTGACAAAACTGCACATTTTGAAGTCGCCTTTTATTGTCCCCAGCACAAGGTGCACCTGTGTAATGATTATGCTGTTTAATCAGCTTCTTGATATGCCATACCTGTCAGGTGGATGGATTATCTTGGCAAAGGAGAAATGCTCACTAACAGGGATTTTAAACAAATTTGTGCACAAAATTTGAAAGAAATAAGCTTTTTGTGAACATTTCTGGGATTTTTTATTTCAGCTCATGAAACATGGGACCAACACTTTACATGTTGCGTTTATATTTTTGTTCAGTGTAATATGTTGACTTCATACAGGTCAAATTAATTTAGTAACTGGATAAAGGTGAAATTCAACATGTAAAGCCAGTCATGGTAGATGCAGTGTGTCTGTGACTCTATGGGGCATTCCAGCCCCAGCTCCAGCCTCAGCTCTAGGGAGGGGAGAACAGACATGGTGTGACCCCAGGTGACATGTCACTTTTTCAGCCATTGATCTGCTGTGACTCCCTTGTCCCTGGTTCCCCCAGCTCTTGGTTTAAAGCTGCCTGAGAAACTCAGTCACACCTACGGGATTAAAGTCTACTTCTCCTTCTCTCTCTCTTTCTTTCTCTCTCTCTTTCTTTCTCTCTCTCTTTCTCTCTCTCTCTCTCTCTCTCTCTCTCTCTCTCTCTCTCTCTCTCTCTCTCTCTCTCTCTCTCTCTATCCTCCCTCTCTGTCCTCCTCTCCCCCCATTTCTAGACTGTTTAGAGACTTAAACCAGGGTCACTTTAGTTTAATTGCCAAACCCATGGCTACCTCAGTTGCTGTTAGTGAGTTTTGTTTCACTCCATGACTGAGCTCGCAAATAGCGGCTTCGCTGGGGAATGAACCAGACCAAATGGATTGTTATTGAGTGAGTGCAGCGTTCACTTGGAGTTGTATTGATGCTAATTTCAACAAAAGTCATCAACGTTCGCTGGGTGAACAGAAGAGCTTAATTGAAATACGTGTTTATTTCTCAACTTCCACTAATTTAGATAAAGGGTTGTCTAATTGAAATTCAGGCCATTCTGGCTGACGAGGCAATCTGCTAGAGTAGATGTAGCTCAGTTGGTAGAGCATGGCGTTTGCAACGCCAGGGTTGTGGGTTCGATTCCCACGGGGAGCCAGTATGAAAAAAATAATGTATGCACTCACTAACTGTAAGTCGCTCTGGATAAGAGCGTCTGCTAAATTACGTAAATGTCATTAACTTTTTACTGCAGTGGCTGAATCAGGGTCACACAGAGTGATTCTTGGTAGTCTTAAACATTGAAACAAAAGTATACACCTCACACAAATGGTTATGGGCTTTAAAAAAAAGACACCTATACCATGTCAGATATAGAGTTGAAATGCATTCCATTAAAATCATGTTTATTAATTATGACATTATGAAAAATATTAATAACATTCAACCCATGAGGCCACTAGGTCATTTGACTGCAGGAAAGGGCTACAAGGAGTTAGATGTGGGACAACATTTGTGATTCTTTTTTATTACCAATGCAGGCAAGCTGAAGGAAAAGTACACAACAGACGACATGAGCTTGAACGTATCAGCTAACTCTCAGACATTCTGTGTGTTAAGCTCTATGTTGTGTTGTGTTCTATACTGTGCAGTGCTATTTGTCTAGATGTGTATATTATGAGTTGTTGTTATGTGTACATGAACAGTATATGATCAACTCAGTTGCACATGGTAAGGGTCAGTGTATTGCATGGTATTGTTTTGTTATATACCCCATTGTGTTTTTGCTGCTGAGTATGTGAGCCAGATTAGTGACAGCTGGTCCATCAGTGATGAGGGATCTGTGGCTGTGGTGCAGAATTCCTCAGACAAGCACTGTGGCTCATTGATAACTCACAATATGTCCTCTGAGAGAAGAGATGGAGAGACTGAGGGAGAGGGAAATAGAGAGCGAGCTATGGAGTTTGATGGAGAGATTAATGGAGGAGAGTGTGCATGTGTGTGTAGGGTTATAACTCTAGCCGTAACCCTAACCCTAGCCTATTCTAATCCAGTTTTGGGCCTACGGCCTGCTTATCTCAAGAGATCACTGGTTCTCATTCCCCCTCCTCTGTCTCTTAACCACTGTTTGTCTTGTCGAAGTTCATGTTTGTAAGTGGCTTAATGCATTCTGCTTCTCTATCATTTCTAATAATGCCTCCTCTTCCACCCCCTCCATCCCTCCATCCCTCCATCCCTTTACTTAGAACTGATGAAGTCAAGCAGAAGGAAGAAAAGAAGGCTTGAAAAGGTAAATTATTAAATAAAAGATGGGGTGTTTGCACTAGCAGGAGACTTGACAGCTGAGAGATGGATCTCCTTTGGTTTGTTCATTATCCAAACAAACCTCAAACAAACCCTCAAGCTGTCCTGTCTACTCCACTCACTTAAACACACACACACACACACACACACACACACACACACACACACACACACACACACACACACACACACACACACACACACACACACACACACACACACACACCACTACAAGAACCACTAGAGCTGTGGGCTCATTACTTGTCTTTACTGTTTGAGCAAATTGTAGGCGCCAATATTCCAATCCACAAAGCAGTACGTCATGTTGAACAGACAGAACAGGCATGGTTCATGGATTGTCTTTACATTGGACACACATGCTATGGTCTGCTATGTGTTTTTCTCTATACTACTTTTGGTAATCCACTTCACACTGCTTCAAACTCCTTATCCATTTTAGCAGCGTATACTGAAGAGAGTGAAGTGTGCCACGACAGCACAGAGCGTTCCTGCGTGCTGCTCACTGCTCATGAAGGTCATCTGTTTTCCATTTGGCTCTTCATCCTCAACATCTCAGTCAGAAACACTGAGCCTTCGCCTGCCTTCCACACCCATGTCATTAATCTGTTATGCGAATACACGTCTCCATGAGAGCGAGATAGAGAGGGGGGGGGGGAGCTAAAGAGATAGAAAGACATTGAGAGAAAGATGAACACATGCCGATGTGAGAGGCAGTAAGGGATGTATAGAGAGAACACATGACATGATACAAAATGTGTTCTGCTCCTCTAAGGCAGTGTTTCCCAACTCCAGTCCTTCAGTACCCCAACAGTGTTTCCCAACTGCAGTACCCCAACAGTGTTTCCCAACTCCAGTCCTTCAGTACCCCAACAGTGTTTCCCAACTCCAGTACCCCAACAGTGTTTCCCAACTCCAGTCCTTCAGTCCTCCCAACAGTGTTTCCCAACTCCAGTCCTTCAGTCCTCCCAACAGTGTTTCCCAACTCCAGTCCTTCAGTCCTCCCAACAGTGTTTCCCAACTCCAGTCCTTCAGTCCTCCCAACAGTGTTTCCCAACTCCAGTCCTCCAGTACTCCCAACAGTGTTTCCCAACTCCAGTCCTCCCAACAGTGTTTCCCAACTCCAGTCCTTCAGTACCCCAACAGTGTTTCCCAACTCCAGTCCTCCAGTACTCCCAACAGTGTTTCCCAACTCCAGTCCTCCCAACAGTGTTTCCCAACTCCAGTCCTTCAGTACCCCAACAGTGTTTCCCAACTCCAGTCCTCCAGTACTCCCAACAGTGTTTCCCAACTCCAGTCCTTCAGTCCTCCCAACAGTGTTTCCCAACTCCAGTCCTTCAGTCCTCCCAACAGTGTTTCCCAACTCCAGTCCTCCAGTACTCCCAACAGTGTTTCCCAACTCCAGTCCTCCCAACAGTGTTTCCCAAGTCCAGTCCTTCAGTACCCCAACAGTGTTTCCCAACTCCAGTCCTCCAGTACTCCCAACAGTGTTTCCCAACTCCAGTCCTCCCAACAGTGTTTCCCAACTCCAGTCCTCCCAACAGTGTTTCCCAACTCCAGTCCTCCAGTACTCCCAACAGTGTTTCCCAACAGTGTTTCCCAACTCCAGTCCTTCAGTACCCCAACAGTGTTTCCCAACTCCAGTACCCCCAACAGTGTTTCCCAACTCCAGTCCTCCCAACAGTGTTTCCCAACTCCAGTCCTCCCAACAGTGTTTCCCAACTCCAGTCCTCCCAACAGTGTTTCCCAACTCCAGTCCTCCAGTACTCCCAACAGTGTTTCCCAACAGTGTTTCCCAACTCCAGTCCTTCAGTACCCCAACAGTGTTTCCCAACTCCAGTACCCCCAACAGTGTTTCCCAACTCCAGTCCTTCAGTACCCCAACAGTGTTTCCCAACTCCAGTCCTCCCAACAGTGTTTCCCAACTCCAGTCCTCCAGTACTCCCAACAGTGTTTCCCAACTCCAGTCCTCCAGTACTCCCAACAGTACCCCCAACAGTGTTTCCCAACTCCAGTCCTCCAGTACTCCCAACAGTGTTTCCCAACTCCAGTCCTCCAGTACTCCCAACAGTGTCCCCCAACAGTGCTTCCCAACTCCAGTACCCCCAACAGTGTTTCCAAACTCCAATCCTCCAGTTCCCCCAACAGTGTTTCCCAACTCCAGTCCTCCCAACAGTGTTTCCCAATTCCAGTCCTCCAGTATTCCCAACAGTGTTTCCCAACTCCAGTCCTCCAGTACCCCCAACAGTGTTTCCCAACTCCAGTCCTCCCAACAGTGTTTCCCAACTCCAGTCCTCCAGTACACCCAACAGTGTTTCCCAACTTCAGTCCTCCAGTACTCCCAACAGTGTTTCCCAAATTCAGTCCTCCAGTACTCCCAACAGTGTTTCCCAATTCCTCCAGTACCCCCAACAGTGTTTCCCAACTCCAGTCCTCCAGTACTCCCAACAGTGTTTCCCAACTCCAGTCCTCCAGTACCCCCAACAGTGTTTCCCAACTCCAGTCTTCCAGTACCCCCAACAGTACACATTTTGTTTTAGGCCCAGACAAGCACTCCTGATTCAACTTGTCAACTAATCAACAGGTCCTCAATTAGTTGAATTAGGGGAGTTTGTCCAGGGCTACAACAAAAATGTGTTCTGTTGGGGGTACTGGAGGAGATGAAACACTGCTCTAGGGCAGCTTATGTGACAAATGTGTGTTAAAAACCAGAGAGCACCAGGCAACATATGATGCTATGTATTATTGATTTCACACCAGTAGCCAGCTAGCTCTTAGTGCTCAGGGCGGGGGTGATGTGGCATAACAAGCCTGCAGTGATTTTCAAGCAGCCTCGTTTGAGTCATGGCTGAGGAGATTGGAGTTTTGTCTCTCTTTAAAGATTCCGAGATGAGAGAATGGGTAGCTAATGAGCAGCATGGCTCGCTGAGGAGAGAGACTGAGACAGGAGAGAAACTGAGACAGGAGAGAGACTGAGACAGGAGAGAGACTGAGACAGGAGAGAGACTGAGACAGGAGAGAGACTGAGACAGGAGAGAGACTGAGACAGGAGAGAGACTGAGACAGGAGAGAGACTGAGACAGGAGAGAGATGGAGGGAGAGAGATGGAGGGGTGGAAGGAAGTAAGGAGGGAGAGGGGAGTGAGATTAAGACAGCAGGGAAAAGAGAGGGCTAGAATGTTGGAGAGAGAGAGAGAGGGAAAAGAAGAGAGAGCCAAAGACTGGTAGACAGA